TATGTCTAAAAACATGAATCATATAAGACTCTCATAAAAGCCTGATGAAACAATAATTACTGCTTAGGTTGCCAAAAAATGTTGATGTAAAGCAACTTAGCTTTAACTGTAGCTCACAGCAAGGTTTTCATTTCTGTACAGCAAGTGGATGAGAATTTTTTTTTTCCTCAATTGCATTTAAAAAAAATAGTAAAATGTTTAAAGTCAGTACGTTACTTCAAGCCTCATGTTTTGATGTCTATAACATGCCATTAGCCTTCCTCTTCTGCTTGGCAAGATAAGGAACATTTTCCATTAACCAAAACATAAGGTAAGGCTGGCATTTACCTACGCCATTTGGTAAATACTGCTGTAGAAAGGCTGTCAGCCTTTCCCAACTATAAAGCAAAATACAATTCAAAAGCATTCATCCTTTCCTGAGACTAGCTATCTTAATAAGAAAGCAGTAATGGGCCTGAACAGAGAGTTGCTGATAAAAGAAACCAAGTGCTGTGCAGCTGCAGTGACACAAAAGCAAGCACTGGGCAAAGACCTGGCTGGTCTTTGACATGCACACACTAGTCCGGAGAGGGCTGTGGTCTGTGCAAGCTGGGTTCAGTTGGTCTGTGAGATTGCAAAGCAGCTAAGCCTGCTGCTCTGGCAGCTGTGGCCCACTGAAGTGTAGTTGGGTTTAACAACATGGAGCCAAGATCTTGAAGCACTACTAGAACCCAGACCTCTGCCACAAACCTCTGTGGGGCAAGGCATTAATATCTCCTTGCCTTGCTCCCTCCCTTTCTTTAACAGATAGAGAGCCAGCGCCACAAAAACACCAGGCACACCTTGTGGAGCCAACAGATGCTAACTTGTTTTCATCCTAGCAAGGTATCTCACAGCAGACCTGGTGCTACAACCAGCTTGGGAGACCTGGTGCATATCCTTCACTCCTCCCGTGATGTGTATTTCCCCCAGTCCAGAAATGTCCAAATGCAGCACCCCAGTCTCTCTCCACCTGCCTTCCTTCACTGTTAAAGCACTTTTACTCCGTCCAGTCTCCTTTACACAGCTTCCACTGGGGACTACTAAATTTGAATACAGATTTCAATCCCCTATTAATCTGTATACTTATATAAAAGCCAGAGGACTCAAGGCAGTTCTGGAGGTATTTTGGTTTTTTCTTGTAATGGTTGGTTTTACAAGGATCTTTCAGAGCATTCTGCTAGGGATGAAGGAAGCAAAGGTGGCCAGTCCACCCTGGTACACTTCATCTCCAACCAACCTTCTTCTGGCTTCATCGATGAAAGCCTCTTACCACATCAGTGAAATATGAATCAGTTCAAGTCATTCTCTGAAACTACACTCCCACCCTTCACACTGCTAACCCTGGTCCTGGCAACCCTCACCGTCCCGCTTCTGATCGCTGTCCATGCCAGCTGTGCCTGGCCACCTCTGGGCACTCCTTAGGGGCTAAACAGCTAAGGAAGTGGTCCACAGCTCTTCCAAAATCACTGTGAGAGAGAAACTGAGGGCAAACCCAAGGGATTCTGTTCTACAGGTAAACACAGTGAAACCACAAAATTGGTATCTTGTGAGGGAACCTTTATCATTTTTCAGCTGACTCCAAGCAGCCAGTCCCCATACTCCTCTTTAATCTACGCCTTTATAATTACCAGCCTACAAAACATCACCCTGTCTCAGGCCACTGAATAAAAGAAGTAAACTTTGATTTCTGTATTTAAGCTCCCTGATCTTCCCCAGGATGTGACGGATCATTACTCGGCTCAGAGATTGCCTGGTCTTAAATCACTGTCCACAACTCCCACTGCAGTGGGCCTGGGTCCCCTTCAAGGTTAGATCTGGTTTCCAGACCTTCAAGATCTTCCTACCAGGCAGACAGAACCTTGCTGTTTTGAATCGCCATATTTTAAAAGGACATTTAGATGCAGTCTAGAACTTTTGTAGCATAACTTAACCATCTCTAAACAGTCAAAGCTGCCTGCTAATTGACAGGTTCTATTTACTGAAGGTTACATGCCAGCAAACAGCCTTGCAGATTTGTCTGTGCATCAGGATAGTAATGCCAAGTGCACCAGAGAGACAGACCAAGATCTGGGAGAAGAAAGCAAGCCTGAAGAAGGCGACTGACACGTGCACCCAAACAAGTAACACTGGAATCTCCTGGCAGGCTCTCTTGACAAACAGTATTTGTCTTGCTGCTCGTTTCACAACTCAGCATTGCTGTTATTAGCAGCATGCAGTGAGAAAACAGGAGAACAACCCTGTGCTTGTGGGAGAGGAGGTACCCTGAAAGTAAAAGCGCTCCAACGTCCCCAGAGCACCAGCTGTGAGCTGGTCGCTGGGTTCAGTGCAGCGGTGGACAAAGATACGTAGATTTGATCCAACTTTGCCCTTGTTTTTGTTATGACAACTTCAAACTAACTTTCTACAGGAAGAGGGAGAAAAAAAAAAAGAAAAAAAAAGAAGAGATGTTACTGGACTCCATATTTCAACTTCAGCAATTCTCCAATCTGCATCCTGGAACAGGGGAGGGAGCACTGGGTAGGACCAGAGTGGTGGGGAGGAACAAGGCAGTCCTCCTTTAGCTGTGCTGGTCACCCAGGGGCTTCTTGAAGCCTTTCGTCCAACTCACAGCTAACCTCCAGCTCACGAAAGGCTGGCTCTCATCCTCTTGAAGTGAATATAGTGCTCCCCAAAGGCACAGGGCTGACAGCCCTGGATATTCAATTAGTCAATGCATGGAGGAGACAGCGAGCACGGGGCAAGCAGCAGGGACTGAGCCATGTTCCCCATGGAGAGGGTGCCCTGCCAATGCACCCTGTCCCTGCTCAGGAGGAGATAACTCATCCCGCGGCTGCGAGAGGTTTGGCTCACACTTTGAAGCCTGGAAGGAGGCTGCAACTTCTGACATGACGTCCTGGATGCTATTTGCAAAAGGCTTCTGACAAGACTGGGTCTCACATGTCTGAGTGCCAGGTCACGCTTTGAAAATGGAGCTGGAAGTAAGATTTGAGACTCCCAAGTGTCTTTATTCCTTCCTTTTTTTTTTTTTTTTTTTTAAACAGGACTGAAATAATTTTGAAAATTGTATTTACAGTCACTATTCAATACTTATTAAAAAAAAAAAATAAAATTAAGCCACTCATCACTCTGACAGCAGCAATCCCACCGATGCTAAAGTGATGGTCTTCTCTAAGACCCCCTCATCTTTAAAAACCAAAGGATGCGCAAACCATGCTATTCAGGCTCCTGCTGTTCACATTTCTCCTCATTCAGATTTCAGGAAAATGTAATTAATACTGACACACACAGAGGTCATATTTCTAAGCAAAATATTAAGGGCGGAGGGGTTGGGGTGGGAATTAAAAGGAAGAGAGAGAGAAGCAATTTTACTAAACGACTATGCCTCCCAACGGGCTCCATGACAGAGACACCACAACTGAGCAGATTATAGCTCTTAAATTTCCAGTGATTCAACTCTGCGTTTATGTTTTACAAAGCCACCTTGTATGTGCTTTGCATTAAAAACTTATTTATTGCTCACATTGATATATATATGTTCTGAATTTAACAATTTACTTCTCAGACCAAAATGACTCAAAACATCAAGGTAACACTAGCACAAGATGGCTCTGGATCAAGAGTTTCTTAAGTTTTACATATATATATATATACACATATACAGACTTTCAACTTTCTCAAGACAAAATTATCATCTTAATTTACAACATGTGCTTTATTAGGCATCTTCAGAACAGACTCGAGAATTTATATGGACCAGAGCTTTCAAAATACAGAAGGATTTATTTCTTTAGTTTAAAGCTTTTAATGTTCTCTTTCCGAAAGACTGCAATTACCAGGCTTGCAAAAACAGTACACAAACATCCTCCCCTTCCTGTTGTACCACAAAGTCTAACATGTCTCACTGATGGGAAGAGCAGGTTTTCTCAGTTACGCTTCTTTAAGCCCAGAACTTTTAATAATTGGTTT